CTAGTCGCAAACATCGAGGGGGACGACTCTATCTACGATGCAAAAAAGATTGTGTTTTGCTGTGGCTAGCTGCGCGCACGCTGAGTAGATAGAAAGAAGATTGATGACGATTCTGAAGATTTCCTGCAAAAAGATGATGAGTGGTGCAAGTAGATGCGACAAATGAAAGAAGATTTTTCGAAGATTGATTCGCTTGTGTGAGATTTGTTGAGCATCTAAACTTGAGATTTAGATGTGTCGCCCCCCTCGGCAAACATGCCCGTACCCAGCGGTTTCGTGCCACGCATGCCAATATCAAAATCTGCTTGTAATTCAACGATCCTCTGCCGAGTCCTGTGGCAGCAGATGACGGAGAATCAAAGTAGACCAAGTTTACGTCGATCGACTCAGTATCAGTGAATCGTATCGACCTGTTGTTGCCACGCTAATTCAGCTCTCAAGGATCGCAAACTCAAGCACAAGGATTTCCTCGAGCATCTCTTCACACCCATCAAATCTTCACATCAATAAATTGCAATTACCCAGGACGATACCGAACTTTTAAATACCGGTGAACATCAATGTGCATTTATCACCAACTTTCCCTGTGGGATGATATGGGTCTCAAAATCATACAGGCGATCTGCATTCTTGCTAATGGCCATGCTAGATATCATTGAGCATGATCTGCTGAAGATGCACCTGAAGGCAGTGTTCACGGCGAATGAGAACAACCCAAATTTGAGTTTAGTTCACTCATAATCGCCAAAAGTGCAGGAACTCAGCGATGAGTAAATTTGCCTGTTGGGTGGTTTTGCTTCTCCGTTTTTGACAACATTAGAAGGAGAAAAGGAGACAAGCTAGTCAAAAGTAGGTAAATGAGAAATTTCCGTTGGGTACTTTTTTCTTACCGTGTAGTAAGTAAAGCGAAGAAATGTTTTTCATCTAAAATTACTTACTTGTCAGTAATGAATGCAATACTGTAGTTCACTGGCTTTTTTATTTATTTATTTATTTATTAATTTATTTCGTCAACCAACGTAGACTAGTACATACCTATTAGAATACAGTTTTGTTTTCTTAAATTTGTTATTTAGGAACAATAATGCTCGCAATAATGTTTATTTACAAGAGCAAATTTTCATTATGTCGTAAGTAACATTCGCACCAATCCGAGAAAAATAAAGTTTTGTTTTGATGACCGAAAAGTTATTCCTATTTCCAAGTAAACACATATAATCTCATAGTGATAGCAATGTTTAACATATTTAGCAGGGTTTTAATCATACAAATGCAAATCGCTAGCTTTCATGCTAAAAAATACAGGTTTTTGAGTCAAAAGTTATTATACGTCGTTTGGTGGCCCCTATTGTTACTTAAGTCAAAGTGTATTTACCAGGATATTCGGGAGAATTATCAATTACGTCTCCTAACGTGCAGCCCATTCATCATTTTAGGACCACCGAAATCATCTTAGCAACAAACAGTTTGATTTATTCACTTTAATAATGAGAAAGCGAAACGACGAACGTACACTTTTCACGGGTTTCTCAGTGCTGTTACTTAAGGAAAACGGCATCTCCATAGAAATCGGGTGACTTAAGTAACATCGAAAACTATTTTGATCGGAAGGTGATTACGTCAAAAAGCAATTTGACTAGTAAATAAATTTAAAAATGGGATTTGATCCTATATTCGGACAGTATATAGTGTAATAGCAGGAGAATCGATTGACACTGATAGCTCGACTTTGTTTACCTTTGTTACATTCGACATAATGAAAATTTGCTCTTGATTTACTTTGCTTGTTTGGTACACGCTATTTAAAACTACCCAAATTTGGGTAGAATCCACCCAGATCCGTCAAAACTGAACCTATCCCAAAAATGGGAAAACTGTGTTGGGATTGACAAGTTGACAAATGAACAACGTCGATCGGATTCATATCAATGTTGTTCATTTGTCAACTTGTCACTCTCAACACAGTTTACCCATTTTTGTGTAGGTTCAGTTTTGACAGATCTGGGTGGATTCTACCCAAATTTGGGTAGTTTTTTTTTTTTTTTTTTTTTTTTTTTTTTTTAAATTTTCGGAGGCGAACCAGCCTAAGGCTGAAAGCCTCCTAAATAAAGCTAAATTAATTAAATTAGTTTAAAATAGCGTGCAGGGAAAGGTTTTACAGCTGAACATTTCAAAATTTCCTGTCTGCTTTGATTGATACTCCACATCGACTTTCTCTTTCGTTTAAATCGTTTCGTTTCTTAAATAGCTGAAAAAACTTTTCTGTTGTGTTTGACGCATTGGATGCGAGATAAGCACCTCGTTTATCAAACTATGTGACACAAAGAGATTTATTAAAAGAGAAAGTCGATGTAGAGAATCAATCAAAGCAGATAGGACTTTTTGAAATGTTCTTCTCGAAATATCGATTATTAGAAGTCGCGCCGGAGATCGTCTAAAGTTGTTTTTGTAGCATCGCAAGAGGAATTTTGACGTTGTTGAAATAGTAGAAAGTAGCCGAATAATAAGTTTTTAAATTTTACTGCCGTGCTGAATAATATTATTATTGTCCCGCTGAATAATAATATTCTTATTCAGCATCAGTAGATTCCGTAGATTCAGTGGAAATTCGATTAAAGTCGAACTAAGAATAGTTTACGTCTGTGGTTTAGGGTTGAAAGACCAGCGGAACATAAAGTGAGCAAGTTTTGGAGAACTACCATTACCACCAGGTAGGTGCAAATTTCCATTACCTGGTACACTCAAGCAAATTATCACATAGGGGAAATGTAGGTAATGTCGGCCTACATGTCCCTAATTTGGGCCCATCGCTAAAAGTCTGCTATTTATCAATTTTATCTAGATGAACGCGTTATTGGGACGTTACTAATGGATATTTTTGGTTGCTATTGAAAATTTAGTTGATTGCTGAATTTATGTATGGGCCCAAATTAGGGACACTTAGGCCGACATTACCTGCATTTCCCCTATCTAATGGATGAAAACCATGTGAATTTCACATGGCTTTCATGTAATCACATAGCTAAAAATCCCACCACAAAATCACATGAATATTATGAGGCCGATGAAATTCATATGAAAAATCATATAAAATAACGTGGTCGCATAAATGTTATGTGAAATTCAGATGAATTCCATTAATTTTGTTTATGGATGAAAATCATTTGCGTTTTCAATGGAAGCTACCTGGGAAGCTACATGAAAACTATTTTCGGTGTAATGAAAAATAGCCTGAAATCATTATTTCAATCGAATTGATGAAGGACGTACACTTATAAAATAAATCACATAACCAGTGGAAAATATCCATGTGAATTTCACATAACTTTCATGTGATCCCATAATTGGAAATTGCACCACTAAATCACATGAACGTTATGTGTCAAATGAAATCTATATGATTTCTCATATAGAATTTTTAATGCTATGTGATATTCAGGTAAAAATCATCGTTTTTGTTTTTGGAAAAATACTATGTGCGTTCCTAATAGAAACTAAGTGAAAACTTTTTTCAGTGTAGGTATCCATGACATTTTTAAGATAATTACACGGCGAATGAGAACAACCCAAATTTGAGTTTAGTTCACTCATAATCGCCAAAAGTGCAGGAACTCAGCGATGAGTAAATTTGCCTCATGTTTTCCCAGGATTTTCCAGGGAAAAACTCCTGAATTTGAGATCGAAGCTTTACTTACTGCTTTCAGGTGCGTTGTCACCGAGGTTGTAATTTTACACCTATTCGGACATAAAAATCTGTCACGAATTTTCTTTTCAGTTTTCGGTCATGTAATTTTAGGTTTTTTGACACCTAATTTTAAAAGCATGACATATTTTTCAGAAGTTGATGTGATATTCAGTCATAAGATGCTATTTCACATCTAGATGTGTTTTTTACTAAATTTCGACCTTTATTTTTTTTGAAGTGCGTCTATGTGCACATAAAATTAAGTCGTTTATCGAATTACATGACGTCAATTCAAGTTCGTGTAATTTTCAGTTTTTTTTTTAGAGTGCAGTGCGACCAAGAAGCATAGTATCAATATCTTCTTGTAGGGCAGTACCAAGGTGACTACATATAGGTGTTCTAATGTGTCCAATTCATGATTCAGCCATGTTGGGTTTTTGTATGGGACAGCGACCGAGTTTGTTTACAATTTGCACTAAAACCGCACTTTTCCCCCCCGCGACCTCCTCGCCTATATAGTGGCAAAGCTGTATCACCATTTATATACCCACCATGGGCAGTACATTCCAGTAGAGAAGATTTGACACAATAGATTTTGAGGTCATCTGCGAATGATGGTCTGAACGAGGAAAGTAGCAAACACAGAATGTTGAATATGTGTTGTCCCAGAACGTTTCCTTGGGGTACACCATACGTGATGTTGATAGTGCGGGATCGAGTCTCGTTGACCGTAGCTTATGCGGTACGATCGCACAAGTACGAATATATCCACGCTGTTATCCAATCTGGATGGTTTTCCCATTTGTTTGGCTGCCAAATTCCAATTCTACTTGAAATCCTACAGGTCAATTGCAGTTCTAACCTTTTTCTTCAGTATGTGCTTCACAATTGACCAGTATTCATCAATTGGCCTTAGTTCCCGGGTATTGGCCGGATTCATCTGTTTGGGAACCTGTGACTGTGACGCCATTTTTGCTGTATCACTGTTTGGTGGAATTTGAGTAAATAGTGGTAGCTTGTCAAGTCAGGCCAGAATAGGCAATCCACCTCATGTTGCACCAGAAAAGACAGTAGTCTCTTCCGTAGCCACTCCTCCTGATAGATTTGCTGGTTCATGGTTCCAGCAGTAACATCAATTGTCTATGGTAAGAAGGAAGACTGCGACAATGGTCCTACAAATACATATGTAAAATAAAACGCATATTCAAACCTCAACAAGATTTTCTCGTCCGGATTTTTTTTCGTGTTCGGCCTTTAGTACATCAAAATTGGCGATGATAAACGTAATATACCTTTTTTCCCACTTCTCTTCCAGAATGAGCAAGCAACAAGCTCCACCGCCATCCTACGGTTTTGTGGTGCCACCACCATCGGCTCCACCCAGCTACGCACAAGCCGTGGGAGGCGTTCCACCTGCCAGTCCCTTCATACCGAACGCTCCACAGCAGAATGGGCCAACAATTATTACCACCGTCGTCCCGGTCGGACCGGCATCCACACACATGATCTGTCCCAGCTGCCATGCCGAAATCAATTCCCAGACCACAACCTCGCCGGGTCTGATTGCATACGTTTCCGGTTTTCTTATCGCACTCTTCGGGTAAGTTGATTTAGAACTTCATCACGCGATGCTTAAGAATTACACCGCTGACTTATCTACCTTTTTCAGCTGCTGGCTTGGTTGCTGTCTGATTCCGTGCTGCATCGACGAATGTATGGACGTACATCATACCTGCCCGCACTGCAAGGCCTATCTCGGACGGCATCGGCGATAAACGACGGATGGTCGAATTCCACACTACTGGTTGAATCTCTGCCACATCTATATAGCTACATTATTCAGTAAATGGCTTAGGCAAAACGAAAGCATAAAATAACGAATGTTTGTAGCACTATTATGTCACATTCATTAGAGTGACAGAATGTGATTTGTCAATAATCGGTCATTTAATTGGATGGAAAGTAGTTATAGTCAGCGCCTTTACCCGCCACCGTCACGACCGTGATAAAATTTTTATTTTTCCTCATAGAGCACCGTTTTGCGTATGTTTAAAACATTCACAGCCAGAAGGTACTCGTTATAAGTGTAAACATTCGAATATGAAATTAATTGCCTTACTTGGGTTGATTCAAACCATGGTCTAGGTTTTTAATTGTTATTATAATTAACCTTTGTTAGTAATACCTGACTAGTCGGACGGGAAAAAAAAACTTCAATTCAATGCTTGAACCATATCTAGCAAAAACATTATTCAATCAGAAACTTAACCACTTACTGAACCATTAATGTGCGCATCGAAGCATTTCCTTCTTAGGACATTTGGCTTATTATTATTTTTTTTTTTATTAGTTTTTCCGACTATACATATAATATTGATAATCGTAGCTATGTAATTGTTGACATGTTTTAAAACAGTAACATTTAAATATAAACCAAAAATAATTTTAATGTATATCTATTTGTTGAAAGTGTGTGTGTGCCGAATCTCCTAGTAGTCTTTATTTATCATTCACAATGCATCGCGCTTTCCTATAAAGTTAAGCTCGATTTCCAATAAAAATGTAGGAGGTGTTGTACAATCTACGGGAATTTACATATTCTCGTCAATCTATGCAGCGTCCGCTTTTGGCTTTTTTTTACGGCGTAACAAACACATATGCACTACCTATGGATTTTCGTCAGGTTTGAGATAACAACGCTATCCACTCTCAATTAGTATCTCAATGTGTGATAATGAAAAAATAACATCATGACAGTTTGTTCTATTAAGCAAAGTACCGTGTGGTACCCGTTCCCCGCTCACTTTTGAGCAAAAGCAAGTTCAGATCGTTAGTAAAATTACTTTTCCAAAACTTATTGAGCATATTTTTGCACAGCTTGGAGGTCAGAATCATAAGATTGTGGATAAAATATAAAACATCAAAAACAATGCTCTTAAATTAATTTCGATTCGTAGATGGAGTAGATGAAAGCATAGAGTTGATAGTTCCGTTAGAGTACGGCAGTGTGAAGATTGCATATAGATATTAGAATAGCGAGCTAGGACAACTTTTAAAGAAGGTACAAATCGGTTTTTTCATCTCTCTTTACCAAACTCCCCCTTTGGAGAGGGATGGTGAGGGTTATCCCCGCCTCCCCCCCCCCCCACCACTGGCAAAAGTTGAGTTTCCGAAAAGCTTCTCAAGCAGTGTACTATTGCTATGCAAACAGCTTCGTTAGCCACAACTTGAATGCTTTGTCCGATTGAAAGTTGTTGGGTTTCATGCTTGATTCAAAAGTACCTGATGATGTCCAACTCCGACGACAAACGGTTTCTGGGCAAATGCTTCCTCGCAATCCCGGTTATGAGATCCGACTTGAGCTTGGTTTTCAATGACATGCAGGGTTATTCTGCGTGGCGTATGAGGTGAGACGACAATTGTCACCTCGCAGTCACATGACTCTTCTCACTCTATTCCGACAGTCGACTCGGGTGAGGTGAGAGGTTCATTCTTAGGTGAGTTGCAAAGTGACTCGGTGTTCATTTGCCGAAATGTCAGTTTGCTTTGTTTTCCGAAGAAGGCCCATGCAGTTTTTGTAGGTTCATTTGTCAGTTTAATCGCAGGTTTTTATTTTTTACTATGAACATGCGTTCGAGTCGTATTTCATGTCAAACAAGATAGATTAAATATTTTATTATTTTCTTAAACATAATCCGCGTTCACATGTTCGAAATCATGCATAAAAACATCATTTAAATGGATTGAAAATGTTCGGCCTGTGCTAGACCCTTTCAGTTTTGGCTGTTTGTTGTTTTCGGTTGCGGACGAAGATTTTTTTTTTCAATCGTGGTTTTTTTTTAATTACGTTCCTTGTTCCAGTGTATTCCTCCATTTACGAACCACACCGGCGGTTCGTTAATCGAAATAGACGTAAAAAACATTATTTGCGATTTATTTCCTAAAAAGTTTTTGGAAAATTTTGTCGAATACCGCACAAAATGGGTATTTTTTGGTATCTGGGTGACGTACGGGGACCGGAAATCAACGCCTGACGTTATGTTTTATTTCAATATGGCGGCTTCCGGTTAGAGAAAAGCTGGGAAGTACTGCAAAATAACCAACAACATGGGTATTTTTGGAATCTTGGTGACGTGTAGGGACTGGAAATCGATGTCTGAAGCCTTTTTGAAATTCAATATGGCTGCTTCCGGTGCGAGAAATAATTGTAATTTCTGTCAAATACCCCTCAATATGGGTATTTTTGGAATCCGGGTGACGTGTAGAGACCGGAAAACCATGTCTGACGTCCTTCTGAAACTCAATATGGCGGCTTCCGGTTAGTGAAAAACTGGGAATTAATGCCAAATTACCCACAATATTGGTATTTTTGTAGACGGGGTGCTGTGTAAGAACCCTTAATCGATGTCTGACGCCATTTTGAATTCAAGATGGCTGCTTCCGGTGGGAGAAAAACTGGGAATTATTGCCAAATTACCCACAGTATGAGTATTTTTGGAATCTTGGTGACGTGTAGGGTTCGGAAATCGATGTCTGAGGCCATTTTGAATTCAAGATGGCGGCTTCCGGTTGGAGAAAAACTTGAAAATTCTGTCAAATACCCCTCAATATGGGTATTTTTAGAATTGGGGTGACGTATAGGGTCCGGAAATAGATGTCTGACGCCATTTTGAATTCAAGATGGCGGCTTCCGGTGGGAGAAACACTGGGAATTATTGCCAAATTACCCACAGTAGGAGTATTTTTGGAATCTTGGTGACGTGTAGGGTTCGGAAATCGATGTCTGAGGCCATTTTGAATTCAAGATGGCGGCTTCCGGTTGGAGAAAAACTTGAAAATTATGTCTAATACCCCTCAATATGGGTATTTTTAGAATTGGGGTGACGTATAGGGTCCGGAAATAGATGTCTGACGCCATTTTGAATTCAAGATGGCGGCTTCCGGTCGGAGAAAAACTGGGAATTATTGCCAAATTACCCACAGTAGGAGTATTTTTGGAATCTTGGTGACGTGTAGGGTTCGGAAATCGATGTCTGAGGCCATTTTGAATTCAAGATGGCGGCTTCCGGTTGGAGAAAAACTGGGAATTATTGCCAAATTACCCACAGTAGGAGTATTTTTGGAATCTTGGTACGTGTAGGGTTCGGAAATCGATGTCTGAGGCCATTTTGAATTCAAGATGGCGGCTTCCGGTGGGAGAAAAACTGGGAATTATTGCCAAATTACCCACAGTAGGAGCATTTTTGGAGTCTTGGTGACGTGTAGGGTTCGGAAATCGATGTCTGAGGCTATTTTGAAATTCAAGATGGCGGCTTCCGGTGGGAGAAAAACTTGTAAATTATGTCTAATACCCCTCAATATGGGTATTTTTAGAATTGGGGTGACGAATAGGGTCCGGAAATAGATGTCTGGCGCCATTTTGAATTCAAGATGGCGGCTTCCGGTGCGAGAAAAACTGGGAATTATTGCCAAATTACCCACAGTAGAAGTATTTTTGGAATCTTGGTGACGTGTAGGGTTCGGAAATCGATGTCTGAGGCCATTTTGAAATTCAAGATGGCGGCTTCCGGTGCGAGAAAAACTGGGAATTATTGCCAAATTACCCACAGTAGGAGTATTTTTGGAATCTTGGTGACGTGTAGGGTTCGGAAATCGATGTCTGAGGCCATTTTGAAATTCAAGATGGCGGCTTCCGGTGGGAGAAAAATTGGGAATTATTGCCAAATTACCCACAGTATGAGTATTTTTGGAGTCTTGGTAACGTGTAGGGTCCAGAAATCGATGTCTGAGGCCGTTTTGAAATTCAAGATGGTGGCTTCCGGTTGGAGAAAAACTTGAAAATTATGTCTAATACCCCTCAATATGGGTATTTTTAGAATTGGGGTGACGTATAGGGTCCGGAAATAGATGTCTGACGCCATTTTGAATTCAAGATGGCGGCTTCCGGTGGGAGAAAAACTGGGAATTATTGCCAAATTACCCACAGTAGGAGCATTTTTGGAGTCTTGGTGACGTGTAGGGTTCGGAAATCGATGTCTGAGGCTATTTTGAAATTCAAGATGGCGGCTTCCGGTGGGAGAAAAACTTGTAAATTATGTCTAATACCCCTCAATATGGGTATTTTTAGAATTGGGGTGACGAATAGGGTCCGGAAATAGATGTCTGGCGCCATTTTGAATTCAAGATGGCGGCTTCCGGTGCGAGAAAAACTGGGAATTATTGCCAAATTACCCACAGTAGAAGTATTTTTGGAATCTTGGTGACGTGTAGGGTTCGGAAATCGATGTCTGAGGCCATTTTGAAATTCAAGATGGCGGCTTCCGGTGCGAGAAAAACTGGGAATTATTGCCAAATTACCCACAGTAGGAGTATTTTTGGAATCTTGGTGACGTGTAGGGTTCGGAAATCGATGTCTGAGGCCATTTTGAAATTCAAGATGGCGGCTTCCGGTGGGAGAAAAATTGGGAATTATTGCCAAATTACCCACAGTATGAGTATTTTTGGAGTCTTGGTAACGTGTAGGGTCCAGAAATCGATGTCTGAGGCCGTTTTGAAATTCAAGATGGTGGCTTCCGGTTGGAGAAAAACTTGAAAATTATGTCTAATACCCCTCAATATGGGTATTTTTAGAATTGGGGTGACGTATAGGGTCCGGAAATAGATGTCTGACGCCATTTTGAATTCAAGATTGCGGCTTCCGGTCGGAGAAAAACTGGGAATTATTGCCAAATTACCCACAGTAGGAGTATTTTTGGAATCTTGGTGACGTGTAGGGTTCGAAAATCGATGTCTGAGGCC